GCGCCTCCCTCTTAGCAAGCCGCCAAGCCGATGGACAAAGTGGTTAGCGTCGGAGAGTACCATGTCGTGGAGAGAATCAGGTTGAATGAGATGGAAATCCATCTTGAAGGTGCCTTTTCAATGTGGAGTTCAGATAAGATGCTAACATTTCTGATCGGGGGAAGGCGAAGGGGGAAGATGCGATGGTTGAAAGAGGCAGAAAGTGGAAAAGCTAGGTACGGACGTGTTTAGATTGAGGTGAATGGGTTAAGCACCCCGCAGCGTTCCTCCCTCGCCAAAGATTGCGAAGGCATGACGTGATGCACGAGAAGGTGCAACTGCGTGTCGGTCTTGGACGGAAAGCAGGGACTGTTATCGAGAAGTAGGAGCAGCTGCAGATGGGGTTGCAGAGATGCATCTTCATGTAGAAGGCACGTCTCACTGAGCTGTGAGATAACCAGTTCCAAGAACCATCGAGAAATTACGATCCCTGGTACAAACATGTTCCTGGGGAGCATCATTGACGCCCTGCTCATCTGATCTTCATCCCCGAGGTTGAGGTGTTCGGTTGATAAGTAGAGAGTTGGGACCAGACTGTCACCAAATTCAGTCGGCTTGTGGTCGAGCGGCGTGGTGCACTGCGTCGCTCAACTCGAATCGAGGGGTCTGTCAGACAAAGGCCTACCCCTTCCCCTTGGGAGTAAGCTGTTGGCACCTGCGAGGTGACAGCAGCCAGCCATCCAGAGTAACGAGTATGCCTGGACCAGACGCGAGTGGGCCTGAGAGTTTGTCTGACAGCTAGTGATTGACAGCTGGCGTCTTCCTGTTACGCAAATAAGGCTCTTCTGCTCCTTTCCAGTTTTTTAGGCACGTCCTGCGTTCGAATCATGTCCATTCCTCTTTTTTTTTGCTTCCGTACCTTTTGTGACTTTTTGTTACCGGTTAGGGACTCGACAAGACAGTCAACAACCTGAACTCATCAGGAACGGACCTAATAACATTGAAAGCTGGAGAAAGGCAGCGACGCAAAGAGGAACAGTAGTCCGAGAACTACGGAAAAAAGCACTCGTCGTCTAGTGCATATCACTCTCAAAGTCAGTCGTCAGCGAGTTGCCGCTTCACTCCATCGTGAACACCATTTCTCCCACAAAGAGTGACATTCATGTCTAGGGGTAAGCAGCACAGCAAGGTCACCAAATCACTGACTGTTGAGATTCGACAAGGGATATCACGTCTCAAATTACTTTGGTACCTTACTGACACAGATTGCAGGGCATCACCGCAAAGGCATTGTTTCAACTGCAGCTGCCTCAGTACTATCTACAGCTCCTTCGGTCTAATGTCCTTCCCACCGATGTCCCGTTCCTGTAGAATGACTGCCCCTGCCCCACCTGCGTTATCCACCATCCGGCACGCATGCACTGATCCCTTCCCTGATCTCTTCCTTCTTTCCTTCAATCTCTCGTACTCGCTCGGTCCGTCGCATTCAGTTTCTTTTTTTCTTCCATACAGACAGTTCGACCAAACCATGGCTTCTTCCGACTTCCCATCCATCAACAAGCGGAGCTTTCCTTTTCCCGAGCGACCCAACCATTGTCCCAAGTTCCAACCGTTTACCCGCCCCAACGAGCATCGATGCGCAAAACAATTCTGTCCCTATTGACCAACTTCTTTCTTCTGTTCCATCGGTCGATTGAGTCGAGCTCCCACGATTCCATCTTCTCGGGCCTCCAATCTTCCACCTTCGAGCTGGCTTCTAGCATCTGCCAATACGAGCAACGTTGCTGGACAAATCAATCTCGCTCTCGTTTCGCCAGAGGCAGTCGTCGCAAGCGCAGTATGGCGCAGAGAAAGACGACTTTGACTTGTGATCTCGGTTTGGGGTGCAGAACTCCATGAGGTCGTTCCATAACTGGGACTGGATCGAAGGAGTGTACTGAGCTTGCCTCGAGCTGGAAGTGGCGACGGAACCGGTAGCGCTGGGGGCCAAACTGCCGGCGTTGCTGGGAGTAAGATGGGTTTTGGCTGTGTGGTACGATGCCCCGGAACTGGAAGAGGCCTTGGAGAGATCACTCTCTGTCTTGCAGGAAGCGACGGTTGCTGAGCTGGGCTTGGTAATCCTGGAGAAACGGTGATCGGGAACAACAAGAGTTCTAGAACGGCCGGTTGGAGGAGCACCAGCAACACCACGACTACCGCCAACATCTACAACAAGTCCCTTGGGCTGACTGTTTACAGTGTACGTCGACAACTCCGCGACCTTCGAAGTCTTACAAGTACCAAGAACAACTGGAGATCCACCGCCGGAACCCGATACAACAGCATGGCAACTGCTAGTGGTGCTAAGCTCGTCCCAAAAGCTCTTGACCGCCTGGAATGACGATCTGGAAGGCGACACTGGGATTGCGGACGCTGGAGGCTTAGATGGGACATCATGCTGGTAAGTCTTCATAACCGGAGTAGTACTTGATTTGGGCATGGATTTGGGAGCATCACTGTTGCCATTGCCCATGCTACCAACCTCATTCCACAGATCTTCGGCTTCTTCGGATGGCAGAGTTGTGCAAGACTTTGCCAATGCAACGGTGGCAGTCTGGGTCCTTACGGCATTGGCAAAATCAGGACGTCTTGGCTCGCACTTCAGATGTGAAGTTGGCCTTGGCATCACCGGTTTCCGTCGGTCTTGCTGACAATGTCGCGTTGGTGGGAAGAACGAGAGCTGATGGCGAGCACCTCGGGCTTATTCTCGAAGGAATAATCCCGAGATGATCTAGTCGGACGGCTGTAGTTGGGTGCTGTGGTCGTCGACCTCTTCTTCCTGGAGGAATCTGTGGTGGAAGACTTGTCTTTAGGCTTTGCCTGGAGGTAAGATGTTAGTGTGGTTGATCTTTCAAGATATATCATCGGTGATTACTTACAGCGATGACGGGAACAGTAGCCGATGAGGCCATGGACTGAGCCAGGCTATGGCGCTTGGTCGGGATGCGCAAGGGCGCCGGCATGGCCTGTGGTATTAAGGAACTGAATGGACGCTCTTGCATGTCGGCAACAAAAGCAGTGGGCTTTGATGAGTCCTGGGTCGAGACTTGACGCTTTGGTCTCGGGATGCTTGAGCGCCTGTTTCGGCGCAATGGTTGCAACGGTCGGGCTTCGTTGGCTGATACTCTCACATCCTCCTCTTTCATGGCTGAATGACCGTTCGGCGCATCCCCATTGCTTGGAGTTGTCCGGGTGGCCGGCTCTTTTGTTGGAGTGGTCAAGTCGTCCCTCTCTGTCTTTGTCTTTCCCTCCTCTTCAGCCGGTGTTCCGAGGCGGGTTTCGAGAGGTGATCCCCAGCGTACCGTCTTCTCCCTCTTCAGATTTTGTGACTTTGAAGCACTCGGGTAAGGCGTCGGTGCTCGTGTCCTGGGAGGCGGAGAGAATTTCGACCGTCCTCTGAGGGCGTCGACTAGTGGGCTGTCTCTCCTGGGGTAACGCTCCTCGCCATGGCGGTCGATGTCGACTGAAGGCCAAGGTCTGGTTTGATAGCTGGCGAGAATGCTGTCATCTTGGCTTCTTTCGAGTGCAGGGCTTGGGGCCGGGGTAGGTGCCGGCCCTTGTCGCTTTCTTAGCCGATTCCTGGCGGTACGGTTGTCTTCATGGCTTTTCCGCACGGCGAACCGAAGTAGAGGTTGGCTCTTTGACTTCTTGTTGCGTGGGCTGAAGGCCCTCAGCAAACGGTTGAACATCTTGTCGGATCAACTCCGCCGATATTGAGCGATGTTGGTGATGCAATAAGCAAGGAGGCTGGTTGCGGTGTTGGGGTGGTAGGGTGAGGTTAGTGAGCGATGTGGTTGATCAGCTTGACCATTCGAAGTTGTAATGATGATGTAGAAAGAGGAAGTGAGAAGCCTGCACAGCGACCCAAAACGACGAGATATACTCGGTGCTCAAGGTCCATGGTAGTCGACGGTCACCATCGTCGTCGCCGTGGCGACTGGTGGTATTGTTCGCGTGAGGGCCTAATAACCTGGAACAGCATGCCTGTTCATGGTGCTGTGGTCGAGTTTTTGGGGGTTACCTGTGGTACCCACCACAGCCTGGGGAAACTCAGAAGAATAGAAGTGGTGTTCATGGTCCAAGTTCATATATGATCACTAGATAGGCAGCTGTTCCAGCACACGGGGCACAGCCGATTGCGAGACCGGGCTACAGATAACTCCAGATGAGTCTCTGAGAGAGGTCGATTATATGGTCACTGCAAACGTATTGCAGCTGAAGATGTGATAACATAATACGCTGGAGATGTCTTCTGATACATCATGACGGGGCTTCTTTGCGCAATAATAAAGGACACTGTCAACGTGATCTTGACGGAGAGAGGACCTGCAAGATGGTATGGAGGGTTGGTCGAGAATAAAGCATTTGTCGCAGCAAGGAAGTATTTGCTTTTGAGGACAGCACGACGGCATCGTAGAATAAATGATGGCCGAGAAGCGTTTTAATACACCTGGCTTTCATGATTCGTATTCATCGACAGCAACGAGTGAGGCTATCTCGTTCGTGTCAAGCACCAGTCTGTATGCTTGGAATGAGATACGGTGCTAACTGAATCTCGTTTTCACTTGGCCAAGTTCTGTTAGTGTCATATCAGGTGTCAATGGCCCGTGTTAGTGGGAAGTTCACCTCCATCCACCTGCTGCAACGCTTACACTGCGCTTCAAGGAAGTTTGCTCATTCGTTGAGACAACTGCTGGGCTCACAGAAGTGTGTAGTTTCACGAATAGCATCATCACTGAAGTCACACATGAAATCATAATCAGGCGCGAAGTGCTATTTGATCCCAAACTTTATTAACTGCGCTGCCTGAGATCTCCTTCGGATATTCCCGCTGTGACAAGGGCAGTGTTCTGG